CACGACTACCGTATTTATTAATCTAGCATTGGATTACTATATTCCTAAACTGTCCAAATGGGAAGTACTCTTTGAGCTATGATTGAGCATATTCTCCATAATCTCGAGAAAGTGAGATTTGTTATATTCTCCATAATCTCGGAGAAAGTGAGATTTGTTTACAATATTTAGCACGATGCAACAAAAAAGAGAGAGAGAGAGAAAAAAAAAAAAAGAGTAGCAAACCAACTTAGTAGGCACAACTTTTTTGTTTGTTTGTTTGGGCACAATACAAGTTTTAGTCCAAATACAATGACAAAATTAGCAATTAATGGTATATCCAATATCTGGTGTGTATGAATTGCCGTATAGATTAGAGAAACCTAAAGCCCTCACAGGACTTAAATGACATGGTCACGTGCAAGTAAGATCACATTTCAGGATTCTAGCGAAAAACATAACACATTTTGGGAAGTTTCCCAGGGCTACTAAATTCAAAGGAATGCAAACTTTTCTAAGAACAAAAGAAAAATGTAACGTTTGCTTCCGTTCAATTCGCTGATTCGAGTTTATAATTCGAGTTGAGATGTGATTTTATGTGAAAGTTTTTTACTGTAGCAAAAAAGTTAGAGTGACTGTTTCTGAGAGTTTTTTACTGTACAAAATTTGAATTCTAAACTCGAATCATCGAAATGAACGGGGCCAATTGTTTGTTTTAGTGTGTAATGCCTATGGCCCACTTATAATTTTAGTGTAGGATGTCATTTTCCTTTATTTTTGTATTTTTTATTTGTTTTTATTTTTGTTTACATCAAAGTCATGCTGTCTTGCATATATGGCTGTCAAATAGTGGACCCAAAAATTGGTCAGCCTCATATTATGTAAGTTTGTTAGGGTATGAATCAGAGCATGTCTGAGCAGCATTATTCAGAGACAATACAAGAATATGATGACATAAGTATCCACCGAATTTTCTGTATCCTTTTGGTAAAAAACTTCTTTATTGTTGCTTAAAATGTTTGAAAGTACTATTTTTAGTTGCTGGAGACAAGGAATAAATTTACTGGGTTTTATTTTCTATTTATTCAGATATGTATATGTATGTATAAATATTGTAGAAAATTATATATAATTATATTTTACTGTAAAATCCTCTACCGATAGTGTACATTTTTAACTTGTAAATCTAATTAAAATCACACTAAAATAAAAATAGTACGTAGATAATTTTTGATATAGATCTAATAATTAAAAAATTAAAATCTATTTGTAGTTTATTTAAATTTTACGGTAAAAATTTCTTTATATATTTCAACTTTTCTATTTTCTTTTTATTTTTTATTTTTTTGGGTGAAAAAAGCCCGTGAATAACACCTTGAGGCTTGAGACATGTAAAGTAACTCTTTACTTTACACACTAATGATCCATGAACAGAAAATCCATCAAGGTTTTTTTTTTTTTTAATTTAAAATTAAATTATGGATCGACTTCTTCCGAAACATTGAATGCAGAGACCCTTTCTGACAATATTGATTGCATATGGCAACGCATGCAATTATTAAAATGAAAGAGATTTTTTTAAAATTTATTATAAACAAATATATACATTACAAAAATTTTGAGGATATCAGAGAGCTTATCTCAGATGTGCGCAGTGGCAATGTTAGCTACGTTTTCCGTACAGGAAATTGCGTAGCTCACTGTTTGGTAAATTTTGTTAATTTTTCAGTCATGTGATTATGTATCGTGTGAATTTATGCCTCAGTTTATAGGCAAGTTTCTAAATTGGGATTGCTATGATTTGCGTTAATTAAAGTCATCCATTTAAAAAAAAAAAGAAAAAAACTAGTGACGAAATCAGGATTTGTTGGTAGGGGGGTTAAATTTTTTTTTTAATTAAGATTATATTAATATGTATATATATACATATATATATAACAGTTTTTGTTTATTAAATGTAGATAACTATTAATTTACGGGAAATCAAATCTAATTTATACACATACTTATTATATTAAAATTAAAATTAATATATTAAAAAAAAAAAAGCTGAGACTATGCGCCTCATGTCTCCGTCACTGCTTAGAATCACTGTGATTTGGGTTTAAAAAGTTTTTTTTTCTCAAAAAAATTTAAGTTTAAAAAATTATATTACAATGTTTTCTCTCTTAAAACTTGAATTTTAATTTAAACCACTTAGAATTGAACCTACCTTTAAAACGGGTACATTTATGCATGTGTAAATAGAGGTAGAGATACTTTTGAATGTTAAATCTAGCGAAAATAGAATTAAATTTAAAAATATTTAAAAATGATATAATCCGATATAGAACTCTTGTAATAAATAGTAAATATTAAAACATATAAAACTAGAAACAGACAATAACTCATGGTTGGCAGCCTGCTGGCATGTCCATCGGGGCGTGTAGATATATATAGCAAATTGTGTAAACATTCTCTGTTTAAAAATTGGTTCATCTTGTCCCCCAAATTGAAAACCACATAAAATGTAATAATGAAGCACAAATTTAAATAGACATAATATGCACGCTAATTAGTGAATTCATATTTTTTTATTAAAAATAAAAAGGGATAAGTAACCTCATACTACTACTCAAATCATTGTAAGATCACTCTTCAAATGACCCAACTAAGAGGCATAATTACATTCTCTCACTGCGGAACAAGAAAAATCAATCCTTGGCTCATAGGAGATAGAGCATTGATAAGTCGTCTTAAATTGAAATGCCAATAAAAATAACGCATACAGAAGATTAATGAGACATAATTTAATGTAGTACTACATATCAAGATTTGGATAATCTCCACTTACAAATTACAACTTTTCATAGTAATTCAACAGTTCTTTATTTGAAAATTTTTATGGTAGTAATTATTATTTTACTTTTTGATAGTAACTATCGTTTTTAATTATTAGAGTTATTTTTCATGGTGTGATATGTGAGTAGGAACAATTATGTGTTTCACATTATAAATTTTTAGCGTGAACAGTCATAAATCTGATTATGAAATCGCTCATAAATCTGACAATGAAATCGCTCATAAACCTGACAATGAAATTGCTAGTCATTGGTAGGATGAAATAACAATTCCTACCTTAATCTTGGATGTAAAATCTTTTGATAGTATCCTGGATATAATTAAAAAGTTGGATATCAACTTATCAAATTATATGCAAAATTATGACGCGAAACAGAGGGATAATATCATTGTAGGGTATCAAAAATATTAGCATAGGATTTCATTTTAAATTGTTAAATTTGTATCCACTTCTATCGGTTGTATATATTTTTATTTTAATTTAATTTTTTAACTAAATTTAAGAGATTATAGTAGAACATGAAAAAATAAATTATCAGTAGGTTTACGTTTTTTAGTCCCCAAATTTGTACTAGAAATTATTTTTTCTTTATACCTTTTTGATTTCACGTGATTTTGATTAAATTTAACGATAAAAAATGTACACTACTAATAAGAGATTCTACTGTAAAAATACCTTTAAATTTAACACTCAAAACATTCACCGCATACTTTTGAGGAAAAAAATAGTTTTTACGATAAGATCGATAAGATCTAAAAAATAAACTATAAATATGTATTATTTTTCAACTGATAAATTTATATCAAAAATTATTTTTTCTATGCACTTTTCTATCATCATATGATTTTGATGAGATTCAACGTAACAAAAGAAAAAATAAAAATACATCTAGAGGCCACACGGAGAAGTACCTTTTAAAAAAGTTATTTTCTTTGTCCTCATAGGTTAAAACTTATGTGTTGTTTGGTTGTTAAATTCACATCATGATTTGAATCAAGATTTATGGTTCGTTACAGTGTTTTTTCTCACAAAAAATATACATAAATAAAAAATAATTCAAATCTTATAATTCAAATTCATAAACCAAACATCACCTTACTCTCTTACAAAATGTGAACTTCACAAGTGAATCCATATAGGTCTGATAGGCCCACTTTCTTTGAAAGAGTGGAGATAATATTCAAAAAAATAGAGAGTTCATATTTAAGAGTATATAAATTTAAATTTTTACTTATTATTTTTGATAAATATTAATATCTTAATTTATACGCTTTTAAAAAATATTTATTAAATTACCCAATATATTCTCATCAAATTATACAACATTTTTCTTAAAAAAAAAAAAAAAAAAAAACCTCACGTCTCCTTTAAAATGGAAAAAAAAAAAACCTGTGTGGCTTGGAAGATAACAGAAGTACATCACAGCTTCCACGGGTCCCACCAGAACCTGCATCAAATCCAATCAAATTAAAGCGGACCCACACATCTCCAGCCCATCAAAGCATCTAACGGTCCACCCATAACTCAGATGTAAACTATTCCAATCAGCGACACTGACAAATCCGGTAATTCCGCAAGAACAATAATGGCATTTTAGGTACACCGGTAAATCTTGCCCGTAACGCGTAGCAAACCGGCAACACCCGGTCACTTTCCGTCCCACCGACAGCCTCAGCCAGTCACCCCACGTAATCGCCAAAAACCGGTCCGTACGTCCCTCACCAGGAATCCCACATGAGACAACCTCCATTTAAAACTCTCTCTCTCTCTCTCTCTCTCTCTCTTCGTAGAAAGAGAAAGCTCACACCTGGTTCGCATACAGATATATACAGGCCTATATTTATAGTAAGAGAAAGTGATAGAACAGAAAGTTACAATCCCGAAGTTTGTCTCTTTCTCTCTCTTCATTGCCATTGTTGGAAGCTGAGCCACAAAGAAAGCTTCGGTTTCGGGTAAAAACTTTGAACTTTTATACACTGTTTCTGGTTTATTATCCATCGCAGCTTTTACCGCTTTTTTGTTTGTTTGTTTGTTCGTCTTTGCCTTTTCTTTTCTTGTACTGTGTCGAGAAAATTGACAGCTCGGAAGGTGGCCATAATGCTTTTGTAGGGAGAGAAAGAGAAAGAGAAAGAGAGAGAGTTCTGATTGTGAAGCTTCTTTTTCGTGGCTATCTCAATTTTCACTAGAGAGTTCTGATTGTCAAGCTTCTTTTTCGTGGCTATCTCAATTCTCACTAGATCCCAAACGCTTTTTTTTTTTGTGCGTTTTCTTTTGTTGTTTTGGCGTTTCTCTCTGGTTTTTCTGTATCGTTTCGAAACGCAGTTTTGCTTCTTTTGTCTCTGTTGTTTCAGATGAATTTCCAGGTTTGAGTACTCGAAATTTGGCATTTTTTGTTTTGCATTTCGTTTCTTTTTCTTTTTTATTTCTTTTTAAAAGGAAAACTAAATTTAGCTTCTCTTTCAAGTTAAAAGCTCTGCTTTCGAGCCTTTTTTTTTTTAAAATTTTCCGATGACTCGACGGCCAATTTACGTTCTAGATCTCGCTACGTCAGTATATAGAAATATCGACGGCGTCTTTCGAGTGACGTGGCATCACCGGAGTGTTACAGTTGACCTTACAGCAGTGGCGGCAGTTAGAAATGGAAATTTTCTCTCATTTTATTGATATGATCAAGATCAAGATTTTTTTTTCCCCCATTTTCTGTGAGAAAATTTTAATATAATTGTTGAAAAAGTAGAATTATAAAGATCTGGAAATAGAAAATTACATTGACTATCTATTGGCTACATTCAAGCCTGAGATATTTCTTTCTAGACTTATTCGATCTGAGATAGTGACTTTTAATGGCATAGTTTTATGGGAGCCATTGATTTTTTGTTTTTTTGTTTTTTTTCCCTGTGATAAAGATTCTTTATGTCCTTAATTATTACAGACCAATAATTTTTTCAAATCACGTCTATATTGTCTGCCTTTTCTTTTCTTTCTTTTTTTCCTTTTAATAATACAAACTTTTCAATATGGTGAACTTTTCATTCTCGTTTTTCTTCGTCAGTTAAATAAATTATAATAATGGTTGTGTATTCTGATGTTGATGCCCGTATACACTTTTTTCCCCCCTTTTATCTGTTTGATTTTTTGTGGTAATTTTGTGGATTGTAATTTTAGTAGTTCAGTCTCTTTATGATTTCCTAGTAAGCACTAATCATGGAAAAAGGGTTTTTTTTTTTTTTTTTTTCTCTACTAGATATGAAAACAAAGAACAATCACAGTACATGTCTTTTTAACTATCTGGTGCTCAAATCATGACGCATTGATGTCTTGTTTTCAGAATATTTGTCTTTCTGGGTGAGTGAAGAAAAAGTCAGAATTTTTTTTTTTAATTTTTTTATGAGAGGTAGGTGACAAGAAAATGGTTGCTGTGATATGTTAATGCTATAAAATAATACTTTTTAATTATTGTTGTTGATTTGTCCCTTATTTTTTTTAGGTAAAGATTTTCCGTTTGGCTGTGATTGGAGAAGTAGATCTTGTTAAAACCATGAAGGAGGTTGACAAAAGGAAAACTCCCAATAATAACCGGACAAAGCGCGCTGGAAAACCCGAAAAGAGAGACCAAAAGCCTAATCAGGGCAATACTGGAAAAACTTTGAATGTAAAAGACACCCAAACTAAAGCATCTCATGCTAAACCAGACTCCAGAACTTTAGTAAGTGATTTGAACACGGGCGCAGAGCCCTCTGAAGTTTATGAAAACGTGGTCATACATTATGTCGATGATGTCAACAGGTCTGAAGAAGCAGCTCAAGAACCGAGACCCAACCAAATGGTTTCCAAAGAGATCATGGATGAAGTTGTAGATGACAATTCTAGTGAGTTCGATAAAGAATCTAAGCAGGGAAAGGAAGAAGTTTCTGAATCTGAGATGATTAAGGATTCGGCATCATCTCAAGGGGATTCTCTTGTGGCCGAGGATGAGAAAGTAGAAGAGAGTGTTTCAAGAGTTGCCGAAAGTATGTCGAAGAAGAGTTCCACAGAAAGAAGTTCTGAGGGATCCAAAGAGAGATCTCATCAATCCAAGTCATCACACCAAACTCCCCAGAAACCTAATAACACAAATAGAAGGCCTTCTAGGGAAGCCACCAAAAGTTCTTCCCAGAGCAATTCTAAAAATGTTAAAGTTCCTTCTAAACCTTCATCTGAGTCTTCCGAGGGAGTTGATGACAAGGTTGTTGCAGAGGTAGAAGGAATTCATACCTTGAATGAGACCCCGAATGGTGCCAAGAGTATTGGAAGCAACAACGATACAGTTGATACCGAAGAAAATGGTGAACACGAGAATGAAGCAGCTTTGGAGAAAAAGATAGAAGAAATGGAAACAAGAATCGAGAAACTTGAAGAAGAATTGCGAGAAGTTGCCTCTCTAGAAATTTCTCTCTATTCAGTTGTACCGGAACATGGGAGCTCAGCACATAAGGTCCATACACCTGCTCGACGGCTCTCTAGGATTTATATCCATGCTTGCAAATATTGGACTCAAGTCAAGCGAGCTACCATTGCTAGAAACACTGTGTCGGGGCTTCTTTTGATTGCCAAGTCATGCGGTAATGACGTTCCTAGGTACAAGCATTAACATTTGATATCTAAGTGACTTAGAAAAAACGTTTCAACTTTCAGTTTAGAAATGATTAGTATCTTTCTGTTTTTTCTGCATTTTTAAGGTTAACCTTCTGGCTGTCAAACACTGTTGTGCTGAGGGAGATCATTTCTCAAGCATTTGGTGGTTCACGTCACTCAAGTCCAGCGATGCGGTTGACTGAGTCAAATGGGAATGGAAAGAGAAGTGAAATGAAGTCGACGATGAAATGGAAGGGGATTTCTGGTAGCAAACAAATAAATGCTTTTACGCCACTGCTGGAAGATTGGCAAGAGACAGGAACCTTCACAGCTGCGCTTGAAAAGGTTGAATCCTGGATTTTCTCTCGGGTGGTTGAGTCAGTTTGGTGGCAGGTAATTCACAGAAACTACCAATAAAATATCATTTTCATATGATGGAAACAATTGCATATCTTTGTTCCCTTAATTTCTTGTTTAATATCCTTGGTTGCTTGACAGTTCATTTTGTTGATTCATTATAATTGTTTTCAGTCGAACTACCTGCTTTGTCCTCTTTGCTGAATTAGATCTTTTTTTCAGGCTTTGACTCCATACATGCAATCTCCTGTTGAGGATTTGTCGAATAATAAGAGCATTGGAAGATTGTTAGGACCGGCATTGGGAGATCAAAAGCAAGGCAGCTTTTCAATCAACCTGTGGAAAAATGCCTTCCAGGATGCAGCTCAACGGCTTTGCCCTGTTAGAGCTGGGGGGCATGAGTGTGGTTGCTTGCCCGTGTTGGCAAGAATGGTTTGTAATTTTTTTTATGTATCATACTTTGTAATTAGTTTCAATTCCTTTGTCTCAAGCATCCAAACATAATCTTAAATCTCTTAAATTATCTCATCTTCATGTGTGCTTCAGCAGACAACCTTTATCAGCTTCCACAAGTCCCATGGTTAATTAGTAATATAGTATCTATTTGCTTGATTAGGTTATGGAACAGAGTATTGCCAGACTTGATGTGGCAATGTTTAATGCCATCTTGCGTGAATCAGCCCACGATATTCCGACTGATCCTGTGTCGGATCCCATAGTCGACTCCAAGGTTCTTCCTATTCCAGCTGGGGATTTGAGCTTTGGATCTGGCGCACAACTTAAGAATTCAGTATGTGTTAATCTCTCTTCTTTTTTTTGTTTTTGTTTTTCCTTCTCATTTTCATACAAGAAATCGACATCCGTATTTAGTTTTTATTGTTTATCAATCTTCTAGAAAAATTTAATGCTTCAATCCATTTGTAGCTGGTCATCTGTCCTGTAAGTATGCGTGGTACATCCCTAGAGTATATGACATTTCTTTTATTATCAATATATCCTTGGATAGACTTGTAAAAAAATATTTTATCCTCGAGATCACATGTGTGAAACGATTACAGTTGCAAGTGTCACAGGTTAATGAGAGCGTTTTTCTTGCAGGTGGGCAATTGGTCAAGATGGCTAACTGATATGTTTGGCATAGATGCGGATGATGTGCCGCAAGAAGATCAGGATTGCAATGACGGCGATGACAGGCAGGGAGGAGATGGTGAACCAAAATCCTTCCTTCTTCTTAATTCCTTGAGTGATCTTTTGATGCTTCCGAAAGACATGCTTATGGACCGATCAATCCGAAAGGAGGTTGATTTTATAACTTCATCACATTTATATTTAAACTACGTCATGCTATTCATGTTTTATTTAATTTGCACACAACTCTTGATTTGAATGGTCCTTCTCTTGTAATGTCCTCTAGGTGTGCCCATCAATTAGTCTTCCATTGATTAAACGGATACTCTGTAACTTCACTCCTGATGAGTTCTATCCAGATCCTGTTCCTGGAGCTGTCTTAGAGGCCCTAAATGCCGAGGTATGATAGTAAGTTTGAAGTTTATGCTCTCGTGTCTACAGATTGATAAGTCTTTAAACTTTATAGCCTATAGTTCTATGTTTGATGAAAATTGATTTAGAGGAAACAGTGGATGGATGCTGTACTTTTTTGAATATAAGCGAATTCCTTGCAGATGAATGACATCACTTTTGGGATTAATATGTTTTACTTGATTAAGCCCAAAAATCTTGTTTTAACTGCTAGAAAGACAACTTCCAAAAGCGGGCGCATGATATATTTTTACTGCATTTTTGTATAGAGCATTGTGGAGAGGAGGCTGTCAGGAGACTCCATGAAAAGCTTCCCTTACACAGTGGACCCGGTTGTGTATACTCCGCCGTCCCCTACTGACGTGGCAGAAAAGTGTGTGGTTTCGGACACAGGAGGGAGATCTGAATTGGCAAGGAATGTTTCTGTTATACAGAGAAAAGGTTATACTAGTGATGAGGAACTGGAGGAGCTGGAATCTCCTCTAATGTCCATCATTGACAAGTTACCATCGACTCCAAGTACAATCGCGAACGGAAACGGAAAATACAAGGACAGTACAGGGTATGCCTGTGCAAATGAAAGGTATGAACTCCTCAGTGAGGTCTGGTCTGTGTGACAACGTTGACAACAATGCGTTATGTATTTTACACACCGCGATGTCTGTATCCAAAACGAAATATCGAGATTGAGAATAAACAGATTAGTTGTTTATAGATGAAGGTCACAAAGGATTTTGAGTCTTTTAGGGAAGATTCTAAATGAGGCCAATTGGCCAAAGCCAACAATTTTCTTGTACATCAAATGGAGTTTTGTTTTACCGTATAGCATTTAATGAGATTTCATCTGGTTCAGTTGTTGTGTATTCATGTTGGATCTCGTTGACAAGAAGTGTACACGCAGAACATACTACCAAACTTCACAATCTGTTATGAAAAATTTCTTTTAGAAAGTCTCATTGTATAAGCCACCTTCCTCACTATATAAGCCGGAAAAAGTTAGTGAAAAAAAGGAAGAAGAAAACCATCCTCGTTTTCGGTGGGTGCAGATTTTGAGACCAAATGTGATGCATTCAGCCTAAATGCGTAATCTTTAATCTTTAGTTTTTAACATTCATAAAAATGCCAAAAAAAGTTTTTTTCTTCCTTTTAACATGTGGCATGACAATGTAATTTCTCATTCTTTTTGACACATAGCATCACATTTATGTTTTTTTTTTTAAAAAAAAAATAATAATTTTTAAGCATTTTCCTAATTTCTTTTTATACGTTATTTTTTTCTCTATTTGTTTCTTTTTTTTATTTAGCAAAGTTCCTGTACGGTTTATTTTTTATCAACATAATTTAGAATATATCAAACTAAAATATTTAATAAAATCAATCTTAAAAAAAATTAAATTTTTATTTATTTTTTTAGTTGAATCTCTATTTAAAATTATTTTTTTATATAAACTAGAAATGATTTTTCTGATATTTTTAAAATTTAATTGTTTCATGGGTATGTTGAGTTTGATTTTATGAATACTGTGTTATTTTAGGCACTTGTATTAAAAAGGGGTTAGAAGTGGTTTTAAAACAAAATACAGAGGGTGCTTTTAGATATTTTCCTTATTTATTTTTTTGATCAGTCCCTATTAAACTATTTTTTTCTTCAAATGTTCCTTGATTTAAATAGGAATAACCAATATATCTTCTATTATTTTATAGTTTCGACCAAAACAATGCTTGCTTTGATTAAAGCTCCTTTTTCTACTCTTTTTATCAGGGTTCAAGTTTTTAATTGTGAATTATCTCTGTTGAAATAGTTTCTCACATATAAGCCTACTCAATATTCTTTTTCTAACACTCACATTTTTTTCCCTAATCGCTTTATTGAAATCATATCTTATCAAATTATCCCTGCCTAATATTTTTTCCTTGTACCTTCTCAAATGCTCTTTTCATATATGCACCCCATAAATAATTTACTCTCTAATTTACTTTACTAAAAACATTAATTTTCTTTTTAACTATGCTCCGCTTAAAGTTTTTTATGTTTTATTTTTTTTACTAAACTAAACTCTTAAAGGAATAATAAGTCAATAAAAAAATAAAAAAATATTGAAGAAATTTTAGGAATATATATCTAGAAAAAAAAGAAACAAATTGAATACACCTGCCTAGCATATGCTTTAAACTAGTCCTAAAAAGCTTTATGAAGAAGTGTTATTAGCCCTTCAAATCTTAACACATCTACACGGGATATTTAAAACCTTCCTGGGACAAATAGAAGTGCTCAGTACTAACAGTTTTCTAACCTCCTCCTAAAAAAATAAAAAATAAAAAATAAATAATGAAAAACTCTTTTTTGCCTTATGGGGATATATCTCTGTAAGTGAGTTCCACTTGGTGAGACCCATGTGGGCCCTATTGATGTGCTCATTTTTTGAGTCTGACAAGATTATATATGTCCCCATCAAGACTTTTAAGAGTATTCTAAATAAATTAAAATAAACCGTTTCAAAAAAATAATAATGAAAATTTTAAGAGTTTGTTTAGTTCGTTGATTTAAATTTTTAATTTGAGTTGAAATATGACTTTATGTGAGAGTTTTTTATTATAACAAAAAAGTTAGACGTGAATGTTTCTGAGAACATTTTATTGTAGCAAAACTCGAATTCTAAACTTAAATCGGTGAAATGAACAGGGCCTAAATAAATTAAAATAAACCGTTCTAAAAAAATAACAATGAAATAAAAACCACCGGAAGGAGTAGAAAGTTTCTGTTGAATATGGAAGATCTACATTTCTGAAATAAACCCATGCTTTGCTGGGGTTCCAACATGACTATTTAATTTCAAAATACCATTTAATGTACTAATCACAGCTACAACTTAGGATTTGAGAGATTGAAAACATTCAAGGTTTAGCAGCACATAAACATATAGCTTGCTTAAACTACACTTTTAAAGTTGAAGAAATCCCAAAGTTTTTAATTGGCTGGACAAAAGGCTATTTGCCTGATCTCTAACCTCAAGATGTTTGCCTAAAGGGTTTGAAGCAACTTGAGCTTGCATGCTGAAACCCTGACCCAAGACCTTTCAGCTCTTGTTCTTTAAACAGTTGAGACATGTATGGTGGATAGAGATTGGAGCTCCAAAGTTCAAACTCCGGCAGGAGAGTATCCGCCTCTTGCAAGATCGACGTCTGGCGGGGCTCCATTTGCTTGTATGATTGAAATGCACTAGAATTTGAGTGCTGGAAACCCATGGCGAGACTTCCATTATGTTCTCTTGGAAATTCCAGTTCCAATGATGCTATTTCTGAGAGAAACGGGACAAGAGCCCCATGTTGTGATCCCGACCCTGCTGATGAAATAACCGGTGTTTCGCTTAATGTGTTTGCATTTCCTGAGAAACCTGTTTCTGTTTGTTTGTCGATGAAGTTATGGAAGCTCAGGCTTCTCTTCTTCTTCCTGTTTCCAATACCAGAACTCTCTTGTCTCCTCGTGATGTTTGAGGCCGCGAATTTCGCTGTCAGATTCACCATCTTCTCTGTTTCTTTGTCCTTTTGCTCTGTTTCGCCTTGCAGGATGGCCTTGACATTGTAGCTATTTAAGTCAAAGTTTGTGATGGCCTTGAAGCCCTTCAACTTAATGCTCGCAATGTCAAAAGCTATCGCCGCTTCCTCTTCGCTCTCTATTTGTTTACAAAGAAAATGAATCACTTGTATTAGAGTCTCAAGTTGTGAAAAAAACTTCTATGTAATCTTTTTAGCCCGATATTGTTACTGCTTCTGTTTGTTTTGCATATGGATAGAGTAGATCAAATTTGAATAGTCATGTCAACTTTTAGATATCCTAAACTACATTAATGTTCAATAGAACAGTAAAAGAGTAACTTAACCAAAAGTTCCCAAGAAGCTGTCTTTGCCCGGGCCTTTCCTGGCTTGCCACTTCCCACTATTAGCGTGCCTGTTTCATAGTTGTTTTACTAAATATGAGAGAGAGAGAGAGAGAGAGAGAGAGGCAAGTGAAGTGACAAACAATATATATCAAGTACCTTACAACACCGCGGTACTTGGATTTCCCTCTCGAAAAGCTGCTGCTAGACCTGCAGTAGAGTTTTTACAAGCGCTTACTCTATTATGTTAGACAATATGCAGCAGAATGTAGAGCAATGAGTTACATCAAACATGATCCTGTTTATCATTACCTTCGAACAGCAACAACAACATCTTGGTCTGTTAGGTTTTCCATAGCCTCCAGTGCCTTCTCATAATCAATTATCTACAAGGCAAATGTTAAGCTTTTCTTCTACTACATAACACTAGTATCATAGTTTTTCTGGTCTTTCTCTCTCATGATAAACATAACACAAGACTATACTACTACGTAGAGATTGTGATAACATACCGGGAAATTAGTCTGCGCAGAGGTTCCCCAGAACTTCAAAGAAACCAAGTCATGAGCCCTCGCCGCATTTTCTTCCTGATCAAATCTACCTGCAGCTCATAAAACAGTTCCAAGTAATTTAAAAGCAACTTGATCATTAGAACACCAGCCAATGAGATGAATCTCATCCTGATCAGTCGATGATTAGTGAGCGTGGCTCCATGAAGGCCCGCACTTAACGATGATTAGATACTTGATCCATACTGATCAACAGCTGAGGTGTTCTTAGCATAACCATATAGTTCAATACGTAACCTTGATTATTATAAAATAAAGAGAGAAAAATCAACTCCCTGCTTGGGAGTAAGTATGATTGATGTATAGCAATAGCTTCACTTACCAAGATAAACTGCAGAAAACAGTGAACAGAAAAAGTCAAAAGAAGATAGATTTCATGTGCTTATAATGTTTTGATCAGATAAATACATACATACATACATACATAACTATATGTGTATACATAAATATATGTCAATTAAGTTCATTTACTTGTTCTCCCGGTCTTTGGTAAATGACCATTGTCATAAACATGAGCTACATATGTCTCTTTATCCTTGATCCTACATAATTTGTACCATAAATATTTTAGATATCAATTTCCAATTGTAACTTAAACTTTAAATAATAGGTTTAGAAACAATTCTGATACCGACTTTTGCACGCCGCGATATGTGGAGGATTTAAACCTAAAAATTGATTCTTCAAGAATTCCGAAATCTTTTTTTGTACCAAAATCGGGAAATGCTGAGTGAATTGGCTCTGTAAGCTGCCTGCTGCTTCTGCTGTTTGAACTGATATGTTCCATTTCCAATTAGGGGTACTCTAAGGGGATTTCAGAAACTGTTAGCTAGCTAGATTTCCTGCAATTTAGGCACATTAGAGAAAATTCTTCAGGGAAAGCTTTATATAGAAGCCTTTTCATGTCTTGTAAGATGTTCTCCAAAAAAAAAAATAAAATAAAATAAAATAAATCTATGGTTGTGTTATAACACCCAAAAATAATAAATAAATAAATAAATGCATTTATGTACTTGAACAAATTAGATAAACCCTTCATGTACTTTTACAGTACTTGCATAATAAAATTATGTTATAGATACAGATACAAACAATATACACGTAAAAACGCATAATCTTCTAATCAGTACTAGGAGTTGATTTTAAATTAGTGCCCCGAAATCATACTCAAATCACTTAACTTCCACCAATTTAGTACTGAGCATAATATATATATATATATATATACGGTACTCAATTTAGACATGCAGACCAAGAATTTTTCCAGATTAAGTATGGTTTAAATTATATATATGTGTGTGTATATATATATATATATGTTTATATATGTATACGGATTGTAAGGACAAACCTGTGGATATCAAGAAAATGTTTCAGCATATAGAGTACTCTTTAGCCGACTCATGAAAACCTTAGCTGTTGAATTGAATATCAGAACTCTCTCTCTCTCTCTCTCGCTCTATCTTCTTCCTCTTCTCTGCAAGTTTCTGGTTTTTGGCCTCCTTTTTAAGAAGAAGAGTTAGGAGTAAAAAGCCAGGCAATATTTTAACTCTCTTGTGATAGTCAAACAAAAAACTAGAGAGAGAATCATTCATCTCTGTCCAGAAGGAATTAAGTCACACGTTTAACGCATTTTATCATTCTGCCCAAAATCTAAAAAAAGGCTGTTCTATACTCGGATATCTCATTAATTCTCTGGGGATTATGCTTTTCATATATACTTTATAATATACATCTCTTTGCATTTAATTTTTCTAGATAGTTTAGCTTTTCCATGTACCACCTATATATATATATTTATGATGTTATATAGCTAGATAGTAATAAGAATCCAAAGTGGTGTAATAATCTGCAATCTGCAGTCAAACTCTCTTCAAGAAATACATTAAGATGATAATTAATAAGGGCACACCATGTTTTAGATCATAGCTAGTTTTTTTTTTCCCTTTCTTTTTTCAAAAGAAATCTTCAAGAATTTGCAAATATATTTTGCGAGGAAATGCTTGAGTCATGTACTCCATTTACTGTATATATAGTTTTGGGGAAGATGTTTAGCCAGGACAAAGTATAAAACATGATTAAAATTTATCAGTGTTTTAAAAATATCTATTTTTTATTTTTTATTTTAAAAAAAGTTCTTCTAAAGAAAACTATTATCTAATTTGTTCTCGAAGCTAATCGTTAAGTTGGATATTCTTTTTTAACATTCAGACTCATTTGTGTAATAAATCACACAATAATATTTTACGATCATCCATGTATTGGAATTTAAGCATGCATATAATAGAAGAGCCCGAGCTCATCAATAGAGTTTAAAATCTCTCCATCCAAATTCTTAAAAGCAACAAATCCAAATTAAATATCCGAAAACATGTACCCATATTAATAAAACAAGTTCTTCTCCAGTTCTTCTAGCTTCTCCGAGAGCAATTATCACTGCCCTGGCCCACCATGAGTAGTACTTCCATTGAACCCATCAAGAAAGCTAGGGTTTTGGAGCAGGTTCGGGAACTCGGCATCATTAATGTTACGATGATCATGACTAAAGAAATCATGAAAATCAGTTGTCCCCATCTGCTGAAACTCATTCCAGAAGATATCAGTTGAAGCGCCATCACCATCAATATCATATCGGTCACCGACTTCTGCACTCATTGTCCGATTGCCGGCATGTTCTTGATCATCGTTCGAACGACTTCCGGACCCTGCAGAAGTGAACAAATTAAGAAAGCTAGGGTTTCTTTGCAACTGACCATGATCATTTCCAGGGTTTTGCATTTGGTAGTCATGATGATGAAGAGACTGATCAAAGCTAGGGTTTTGGTGCAGATAAAACTGGTCCTGATCAAAGAGCTGAAGGTCCTCCAACTCTAGGTTTTCTATTCCCTTAATGATCCTCTGATCATCACCATGATCATCAGAAACCCCACCTACAAAAGTGGAGCTGCCAGTCATTTCAGGAGACGAATCAGCAAGATAGGAGCTAGGGTTTTGGCGATCAAGCGCCTTTTTCGCATTTTCAGTTGCTGGTGATGGAAAGGATTGGTTTTCAGCATGTGGGGTTGGCTGATCAGAGATGATGATCTGATGATCAAGATTTGATATGATTGGGGTTTCTTGTGCTTGCAGCTCTAGAACTGGGAATCTATTGTTCCAAGTCTTTCTGCTCAACTGAATAACTTCTTCAACTGCAGTCATTTTTAGCATTTTGGAAGCTCCTTTGCCAATTGGAAGCTTTGAGCTCTCCAGAATGTATTTGATGTCATAGTGGTTGAGATCAAAGTTGGTGATTGCATGCAGCCCTTTCATTCTTAAGACCGCAACATCATAAGCTCTCGCCGCTTCCACTTCAGTTTCTGGTATTAGTCATTGTTCAAAATTAGTTAACAAGAAATTAAAATGAGTATTGATAAATTAAAATGAGTACATGTGGTCTAATAAACTTAAAGAACTTCATGTTCAGAATTAGACGCTGTAATTCTATACTACCGAGAGCAATAAAATCGCAGGAAAAAAAAAAAGTACACAAACAAGAACACGCACAAGAGAAAACTATGTGCGAGAGCTACGTCTATTTTAATTTGTGTTGCATTAATACATTATGATAAAGAAGAAAACTATAAGAGAAATCGCACACCTTTCAGACTTATAGTGTTTTTCTCTAATCCCTTTCTTAACTATAAAAACAACGGCCCTCAATATAAAGAAAACTACAATAACTAAATTTATAAGTGTGAAAATCATCAAAATAACCTCTACACTTCAAGAGCAATAATTAGACTCTACAACTTAACCCTTCCAGCATTTTTAATTCTCCCTTTCACACAGAACCATCATTTCTTTGACAAAAGTTCCTATAAAAATGGGTAATTAGTACCCTATAGATTTGAGTGAAAAACAAGGAAAAGTTATTTATAATATTGTACATGATGGTCATGCAAATGAAAATTTCTAGCAATTTATCGCTTTTTTTCTTAATTTTAATTTCAATGGCACATTTTGCATCCTCTAAACTGAAAATTTAGTAAATCCCCGTCTTTATTTTTCTAATGGAAAAATAGAACCCTTGTAATCTAGAATATACCTAGACATCGGATAATATTCTGCAGCATTCCATATATGAGAGGAATATAAGTTGAGTTTGTAATGTACTAAAATTTTATGTATGATGTAGATTCACAATAAAATTGGATCCTTCATTTTATTTTTTTATGTTTTTTTTACTTATTTATTTATTTTTAACCTAGAGGTGGAGGGATTCAAATTCTACGTCTTTTGGTGTGGTCATGAAAATATCTTTAAGCTAGGAGTGCTTCTACTCTTTTCTTTTTTCGCTATTCGAGTCCACATTTTTGAAAAAGATTAGACAAGTCTACTATTTTTTTTAGCCTTGATTTTTTTAGTCCTACGCCCTAGCTATACATATATGTCCCCTTGATTACTCTAGCTATAGCCTTATTTTATATCCCTTCAATGTTTACATTTGAAGAATGGCTCGGTATACCATGTCATCATGCTTATTTAGTATACTGGTATAATAAAAACTTAATATTTGGATGGTGTGTTGTAAACATATTTCTCTCTTATATAGTATGTCTTACATGTTAATCAGTATCAATATTCCCAAATCTCTTATATTAATTAAATTTATATAATATGTATAGTTAAACTTTTTAGCAATGTACAAGTGAATGTGTAAGACATAACCCACAAGACACAGGCAATCCAAACATAAAACACCAAACATCAAAAATTTTGAACAACTTTTTCTTAAGGTAAAAAGCGTCATGTTGCTCCCTACTAACAAATGGTTTCTGTAACTTAAGCTCTTCTTTGCTAGCTTCTCAACTAGATTATTATTAGACAATACTGAAATAATTAATCCAAGCAAAAAAGGGGAGAGAACAAGAAAATTAAATAATTCAAGTGCCAAATAATATTATTATGTACATGAAAGTTAACTTACGAAATGTTCCCAGATAAAGGCCTTTAAGTCCTTTTCCTTTCCCTAACCTTGCTTGCCATTTCTTGCCGTCAGAATTCCTGTTAATTAATGGCTAGGCCATAAGAGAATGAGAGAGAGAGAGAGAGAGAGAGAGAGAGAGAGAGAGAGAGAGAAAGAGAGGGAGAGAGAGAGAGAGAGAGAGAGAGAGAGAGATAGTACCTTGAAACTCCACGATAGTTAGATAAGCCCTTGGCAAAGCCTTTGCTCTTTCTGAAATTTATTTGTCAAATTATCAAGAGATGCCATATATGATATGACATTTTGTTTGAGCAAAAATTTAATTGAAAGTAAAAGGAAAACATTACAAAATTAAAACATAAAAGCCTAAGAATTTAGTAAATTGAGAAAAACAAAACAGTACTAAGAATAAACCATCAAGGAAAAAAAAAACCTAAAAAAAATAAACTATGGCGCCTGTTCATAAAGGTGTATATTAAGAAAACGGGTCAATCAGACCTGACTTGGATGTTTGAGAAAGATAAAGTGATGGATTTTGAGCTAGCCTATTTAGTTGGTCAGTTTAAATTTACAGCTCTACTAATTTATAATCAATGCGGTCTGAAATAGGATGAACAATTACGTATAACTTTCTCAGAGGAAATTTTATAGTCTAAACATTTAAATATGTCTCTTATTCATATATGTTTGAGCCCTACACAAATTAATCCCCAACTACAACAATCTACAATAATGCGATATATATAGCTTGAAACAACTACTTAGCTATAATGCAAAGCTGCTACTATTGAGAACTTTTTTAAACACGTTTTGGATTTATTTAT